TTTTTTCTGATTTATGATCGACGTTTTGACCTTTTGTAAAAAATCTTTAAAGTTTATTTGGTTTATGAGCAGCTTGATCAAGAAATCGACCTTTTCGGTTGCTTCATTGACAGCACATAATTTATTAAAGTCGTTGCACTTTACTGGCATTAGAACATTTTTGTAATTGTCATGATTTCAAGGTACGCCATCACAGTAATTACGTTTTCACTCACCGTTACTGTTTCGCCATGGCCAACTTTAATAACTCCTTCTATGCCTTCCTTTCGAACAGCATCTTTGAACTCCTTAATATCCTTACGAGTCCACATTGACGCCAATGCGACAGCGGGATTGGCTAAAAAAAAAGCAGGCATCAGTCAACATGCAAACGGTAAGCGTTTGTTTACAGGGCAATTCGTCGTGATCGGTGCTGTTGGCCGAGTCAGAGTCGCCATCGGCCGAAGATGTCTCGTCCACATCGTTAACCAACTTTGCGTTAACCGCTGACCGGCCGCCACATTCAACAGCTTCTCGACTCATTTGCTGCGAATATACCTGCGCCATGTACTGCTGATAATGCTGCTCTTGAAGTTGCTTGATCAATATTTGTTGCTAAAAACAAATGTCTTGACCAGAGAAACAATCGTTACGCTCGTTACAAATACATAACGTGCATGAACAGTGCAAAAATCACGTAATCTTCATATCAACCACAAGTGCTAGCAACACATGTATAGCATAACTACGAACAAAGGCTCAAATTTATGAACATAGCATTACAACTTAAACATAATCAGTCTCAGACGATGCGCAATAACACCAAATACAACAGATTTGACAAAACAGCAGCTGATCTAATCTTTCTACACCCGCACATATCACGCTCACAATTCCATTCGTTTCGGCCGAAAACAAATCTTATTACCCACAGAGGCCGCTTTAATTATTCTAAACCTCAGTAAAGCTGAACGGCGTGCACATTCATAAACGAAGCCGGCATTCGCCCTGCAACAACAACGAGGAAGATGGAGTTGAGGAAGTTTTACGTAATCATGCGCCGTTGACACGCGTGAACAGATCGACGAACGTGTCAATCGAAAAAGTCAACCAGATAAACGGCTTCAAGCTATCAAAGTCGATACATGATCTCGCTATTCAGCATTATTTTCTCGTTTTCTCGACATGCAGTCAAAGTGAGTAAATTATGCCAGACGAAATGAACTGTAAACGAACTTTGTTTACTATACGATGTAAAAATTTTCTTGGTTTTTCACATCACAACAGCGTAGCATGGGAACAATGTCACAAGTCGTTTCAAAAAGATTCACAGAGTAGACATGTGATCATTTTTTTCATTTTCGTTAGCCTCTCTCACAGCACTGCGGATACGCATTCCCTGAGGATTACCAAGAATCGATACATGAATATAGAAATAAGGAATTTAAGCCATCGAATACGATCGTATCAAAAAGATTTTGAATAATATTAACTAACTGC